ACTGTCCCTCATAGTCCTTTCGTGGGGTAGATAAACAAACCAAATCAATTCTTCAATGGATTGTATGGAAAAACAATTCTCAATCATATAAAGTATTTTACCAGTGATCTAATATGCATGTATTCTTGTACTCTTTTCTTTGCAAAGCAATTTAATTCTGCTATGTAGATAGTAATATAAATAATAAACTACTTCTTTATAAAACAAAATATGTAACAATTAGACAGTATTTGGGAATTTCCATAATAGATTATTGAGTAAAAAAGTATGCTACCAACCAGATTTTAAATGTTCTTGTTTATATATATATATATAAACCACAATGACCCATCTTGTAATTCAACATAGTTTGGGCCATAAGGAGCAAGGCAGGAGCCTACTGATTGGAAAGAGAGGAGGTCAGAGGCCTCTTAAATTTGCCCTGACTATGGAGAGGAGGGGTCATAAAACGTAAGACAGGGTCGACGTGCAGGTGGAAGTAAGGTAGCTCCAGCTTCAAAAGTTAGGAATTGAAGGCACAGGACATAAAGAGACCATGAAGGGATGTATTCCTCTGAGAATGTGCCTTTCACAGTGGCTTTTCTAGTAAAGTGTGAATGAGGATGTTGCTAGAATTGCTGTCCTGAGAACACTGGTTCTGGAGTCCTTTGTTCTTGTTTTCTGTGTATCAGGCTTATATTTCCAAATGTGTGATAGAAAATGTATATTTAAAAGACAGTGTGTGGTAAAAATTCTCTGACATTATTTTTCATCAGAGATACATTCAAATGCCATCTTTAATGTCAATGGCATGCATTCTAAAGTTCTTTGACCTTGTAAACTCCTGTCTGTATCCCTTTGCCTGTAGAGGCCTCCCTCAGCCAGGTTGTCTTAGGTGAAGGGCAACAGCCGTGTCATCTTTATTTGTCAATAATCTCCTCTGTTCCAGCTTGAATTAGTACAGAATTCTTAGAGCTAGTCTGACTTCCTGATTGACTGAAATTGTGTGAAAATAAAACTCAAGGCCCATCTGCTTCTTCAGTTTTCATCCAAGATTCCCTGGAAGGGAAGTACACTGGAGACCGAGTATTTGCCATCATTGTGTGGCCATAGTCTTGGAAGACATCCACTATGGGAAAATACAATACTGAATTATTTCAAATGTTAGCAATCTCTCTCTCTCCCTCTCTCTCTCTCTCTCTCTCCCTCTCTCTCTCTCTCCCTCTCTCCTCCCCCACCCCCGTCTCTACTCCTCCTCCTTCTCCTTCTCCTCTATAAAATTTCTAACTTTCTCCAGGGATTTGCCTGATTTGTTAATATTTAATGTCTGCAGAATATTAAGACACATGTTCTTACACAATAAGCAAGCTGACTCTTTGGGATATATAATGCGTAATAACCATTATTACAGTTGGAAATAAAAATGGCTAGTTCATCACAGGAGTCAGCGTGCAATATATACATGAACATCATGCTGCTACAACCATCCTGGGAAATTTGATGCCCATTGTGGCCTCCGTGATTTTGCTTGAGCTGCTCTCTCTTTCTAGAATGTTCTTGGCCCTCTTTCCACCTGTCTATATTCCCTCAATTCTTGAGGTCATAGTCATTATTTATATGTTACCTGGTACCATAAGTGATGGTTAATCATTCTTCTTTGTGGATACCTGGAATATTTGTCATACTAGACCAGAGGTTGGAAAAATTTTTTTATATAAAAGGTCAGATAGTAAATATTTTAGCTATGGAGGTTATATGGTCTCTTTTTGTGACATTCTGCTGTGGATTTGAAAACAGCCATAGGTAATACATAAATGAGTGAGCATGGCTATACTCCAATAAAACTTTATTTACAAAAGCGAGCTGGGGGCCACATTTTGGCCTGTAGGACATAGTGTGTGGGCTACTTGACAATGCTTGGAGTTTTTAGGGCTTGAGAAGAAGTTAGCTAATGTGCTTATATTATGAATGAGTCATCTGTAGAAAGGGGGTTAAGGACACACTAAAAGTCTCACATTTATGTTGGAGCCAGCAGTAACGAGCAACTCACTAAACAGCAGCCCTGCATTTTAAATGTATTTTATTACTTCCAGTTCTTGATTATATTGTATTTATTACTGAATTATAAACTGTTTGATATTATCCTCTTATTTCATGTTTAATTACTTTATATGGGTCTATATATTATCGGACTCACGGGGAAATGGGTTATATTTTTTTTATTGCCCAAAATAGCTAGAACAGTACAAGGCACAGAGTAAGACCTCAATAAATATTTGTGATTAAAGTCTTCCAGGAGAACATACAGTACATGTAGCATCTTTCTTACTTAAATATGTGGTTATGGATTATATATCTCAATTTAGAAGGATGTAATATAGCCAATGTTTAAATTATGATAATAATTTTGCAGCCACCTTAAAAAAACACAAAAAAATCTCTTACATCTCTTATATGCTCTTAGCTTATCTGATCCCAATTTTATTCTAATTTTGTTATTCTGATTTATATGATTTTTTAAATTAACGAAAAATTTAAAACTCAATATGAAGATGATCAGTTGGTTGTGGAAGTACAAAGTGTTTAGATGTAATAAGGATAAACTGTGTTTAGGTTTGTACATGCTATATTTGAGTTCTAAATTTAAACTAGCTAATGGATCATTTAATCAATTATTCATCAACTTCATTTTAATTACTTTCAATGTAACACTATATATGCATTTAATGTTCAATTTCGGAAAATGAGTCACTCATTGTCAGGCATAAGCTAGCCCTACTGAGCAGGATTAGACTAGAAAACATTTCTGCCCGCATGATCTTACTGAGTTCTAACAGAGCTCACCTCGTTTCCTTCAGATTACTACTCAGATGTCACCTAATGCGAGAGACTTTCCTTGACAAAGCAGCAAAAAATAACCATTCTCTATCTCTACCTTATCCCCCAACCCGCAGCCCCTTCTTTGATATTTAATGTGCCTGTAGTATTTATCACCGTATCATACTATAAATTAACCTCTTTGCTTTTACCTCTTTGTTTTTGTTTTAGCTAGCTTTTAGTTCCCACTAAAGCATAAATTCCACGATATGAATGTTGTCAGTATCATCCACTGCATTCTCTGTGCCTGGCGCAACTAGGTTCTGGGTGCATATTTGAATGAAAGAGATGAAAAGGAATGCATGTTAGCACATTCCTAATAAAATGGGAAACTTGGAAGTAATGATTACTCCAAGTAAATGCAGAACTTTCATCAAAAGGTTATAAAAAGTTGGATCCAAAAGAGTTAGCACGTAAGAAATCAGGTTTTATATTTGCGCTCACTGGCAGCTAACCTGAATAGCAAAGATTTTTTTTTCTTCTTTTTTTAAATTTTTTTATTGTTATGTTAATCACCATACATTACATCATTAGTTTTAGATGTAGGGTTCCATGATTCATTGTTTGTGCATAACACCCAGTGCTCCATGCAGAACGTGCCCTCCTCAATACCCA